CCGGGCTCAAATTTAGCGAAATTAGTGGAAAACAATAAGGGCTGGCTTTTAAGACTGAGGAACTCTGTTTTCATCGAAGGCACTTTCCTATTTCCAGAGGTTTTAAGGAGAAAATTAATTTTTTAAAATTGTTAGGGGGTGCACCAAGTATTTGGAGGTTGTTCTGTAAAAGAAAAGCAGCAAGGAAAACAATGCCTCAAATTAAGCAACAGAATAGGAAATCAACCATGCGAACGACTCCAACTCCGTGTTTTTGCAGCAAAAGCTAACGCATGCATATACAGTATTCAGCTCTGTCCACTATGGCAAGGAGAATGCTTTTGAAACTTCAAACACTCACTGACCTTGTTTCCATGCTGAAATCAATCCCAGTCCGGCGCGCCGTCAGCAGTTATGAAAGTCGTGTATAACACTATGGAAAACGATAAACATCTTGACATCTCACTATTATTTCAGTTAAAAACAAAACTTTTCCTTGCAGAAATATCTTAATTTGTGGGGAGGAGAAATTGTTTCTTTTAAGAGATAGCATTTTACCATTTAAATCACCGACCTATACCCAAAATAGCTGCTAAATTTTCCAAGCAGGCAAGGTGCAAAATATGACAGCTTTAGTTTACAGGGTTACCCTATTTTAAGGGAAAATTCTTTACTTGACTCGTGAATTCTGTATTAAATTGCATGCAAAAACCAATATTGCATTCGTGCAATATCAGTTTTCAAGTGCAATTTAACTTATAATTCACAAGTCAAGTAATGGATTTTCCTTGAATCACACTATTGAATTAAAATGAGAATAAAAAGAAACAGCTTTACCTTTAGTCATTATGTATGTATACGTAGATGCTAAACAATATCACCAGCCTTGTTTTCAACTTGCAATTCCACCCTAAACACCTCGCTTCATTAACCAATCAGAATGTGAGATTTTACTCAATGATGTGATTCAATGCATGCAGTGATGGAATGATGGAATGGTGTAATTGCAGAATATCCTAAAATGCAGAATTCTTTGTTGTGTAGGACAGAAGTCTCACAAAAATGGAATTGCTTTAAAATAAGTAAATGAATTATGATTAAAAGGCAAAATTAAAAGAAGCAATTTAGCTTAATCATAATTGGGGCCCAGATGATAGGTTAGCTGTGAGGCTTTCAAGCCAGCCCCTACAACATATTATTTTATTACTGAAGTTATCATGATTATTATTGTTTATATGATTTGTTTGTTACAATTTTATTATTGTTTGAACATAAATTAGACATTTTGTTCCTGAATCATCTTCTCTTCTGGAACAGCTGGGTATACCTCAAATATGAAGGATGTGGCAGGTCTTCTGTGTTGCATGTAAATACACATCTTCTGCAACACTACCTTCTAGCATTATTATAAAACTTTTATTTCTGTTCAACTTTATTGTGCCCTATAAGTATAGCCATATCAGCCA